CTCTCTCTCTCTCTCTCTCTCTCTTTACACAGACATGGCTGCCACCACCACCACCACCAGCTGCGCCACCGTCGTCGCCGTGACAACGCGTCCGTGAGACAAGTGACGCGCGCCTGGGGGCAGCAACGATGCACGTGGCTCCACCTCTCTGCCTCCTGCTCCTCCTGCTCGCTCCGACGTCGGCCGCTCGTGGCGCCCGCTACCGGGACTGCGGTGGAGTACTGAACGCGACGCACGGTGTCATCTCGACTCCGAACTTCCCGCACGCGTTCCCGACACCCATCGAATGCCGCTGGCTGATCCGCTCCCGCCCGGGCAAGAAGATAGTAGTTTACTTCACACAGTACTACCTACGCGGAGGACTGTTCGCCTCAGAGTACGATCTCTATATGTACTCAGACGAATCCTTGTTCGTCGGCAGGAATAATTTGGGAGAGCTGGAGACGGCGGTGCTCGGGGAGCCAGCTATAGTGTCACTGACGGCCTACAAGCCATATCTGCTGCTGAGGTTTTGAAATTTTTTTGAAATTTTTTTATTTAGGCAATTATCCATCGTATACATTACATGGCATACTTTTACGATAAATTCTGAATTCAAGAAATTGGATAACTACCAAGGATATTTACACAAAAAGCATGAGTAGCACACTTATTTACATTGTGGTTCTTCACAGGCTGGACATCAGACAGATGGATAATATGAACATACGCGTCGAGCAATACATGAGAGACGTCTATGGCTTCAACATCACGTACGAGGTAAGTAGGAGAGAGGGAGGGGAGGAGAGAGGAGAAGGGAGGGGAGGGAGGGAGGAGAGAGGGAGAGTGAGGGGAGAGGGAGGGAGAGGGAGGGAGAGAGGGAGAGAGGGAGAGGAGGAGGAGGAAGAGGGAGGGAGAGAGGGGAAGGAGTGGGAAGGAAGAGAGAGAGAGAAGAAGAGTACGAGAGAGAAAGAACGAGAGAGAGAGAGAGAGAGAGAGGAGAGAGAGAGAGAGAGAGCGAGTGCGAGCGAGCGAGAGGGGGGCGAGAGCGAGGCGACGAGCGAGAGAGAGAGAGAGAGAGAGAGAGAGAGAGAGAGAGAGAGAGAGAGCACACACAGATGTAATAACCTTATTCAAACGCACGCGCACGTGCGCACATCCTAATACACGTGCGCATAGAAAGCGAAAATTACCCACAATTCACTGTAATGTCATCAGCTTCACCGCGTCACGACAGACGACAGAAAACTACCAGCAAACACACGCAATTGCACGCACGCACGCACGCACGCACGCACGCACAAACACGCACGCACGCACGCACGCACGCACGCACGCACACACACACACAC